TAAGGAATTTAATTTCCATTTTAAAATTAATTCCGTTGGATTATGGTTTATGTCTTGAAAAGGACTTTATGTTTTTTAGCAGACATCATGTTAAGATTGCAGACATTGCAATAATTGGTGATTTATTTGAAATAATTAGTAGTCATGTTCAATCGTTTACTATTTCATGAGGTATTAAATATAGTGTTATCAATGAGAATTCTGTTAGCTTGTGACATGGGAGATTAGGACATATCTCCATTAAGAGAATCAAAAGGTTAACTAAGGAGAAAATTTTTTCACCCTTAAACCATTTGGAATTTGATTCTTGTGTAGACTACATAAGAGGAAAGCAGACCAATAAGTCACAAAAAGGAGTTAAAAGAAGTTCTGAATTGCTTAAGATTATACATACCAATATTTACTACCCTGATTTAACCATGCATAGTCAAAAGTATTTTATTACCTTTATTGATGATTACTCGCGATATATGTATGTCTACTTGCTTTATAATAAAAGTGAGGCACTAGATGCCTTTAAGGAATATAAAATAGAAGTGGAAAAACAAATTGAGAAACTGATTAAAATTGTGAGATCTGATGGAGGTGGTAAGTACTATGGTAGGTACACAAAAAAAGACAAGCACCTGGTCCACTTGCAGACTTTCTTCAAGAGCAGAGTATACTATACCTGGCTCACCAAATATGAATGGTGTAGCTGAAAGAAGAAATAGGACCTTACTGGACATGGTTAGGAGCATGACGAGTAGCTCTAAACTTCCAATTTTACTATGAAAGAAGCAATCAAAACAGCCATATACATATTAAATAGGGTTCCAACAAAGGTAGTGTCTAAAACTCTCTTTGAGATCTGGAAAGGTTGAAAACCCAGTTTAAATTAGTTGGAAGTATGGCATTCTCCTACAGAAGTAAGAGTGTATAATCCACAAGAAAAGAAACTGAACCCTAGGACTATAAGAGCTTACTTTATAGGCTATGTAGAAAAGTCTAAGGGTTATAAGTTTTATTGTCCTCCTCCTTCAAAATGTTTTGTAGAATCTAGGAATGCTAAGTTTCTTGAGAATGATATGTTTAGTAGGAGTGATCAAATAAAAGATGATCACGTAGAAGAAGCCATTAACACGAATGGTGACGAAACTTCAATAGTCAATGACTCTCATCTAGTTAGACCTGTCATAGATCATAGTGTACATCCCACAACTCAAGTTGACAATGTTGGACATCAGGAACATGTGCAAGCTGATCAACCTATGATGCAAATTGAACCACCTCAAAACGTGACAAGAAATGTTCCTAATGAGCAATTTCAACCAACTCAAGAAGTTGAATTAAGAAGGTCAACTAGACAGAGAAGACCAGCATTACCTAGTGACTAAGTTGTGTATTCTGCACAAATTGACTATGATGTTAGTATTGAAAATGATCCATTAACATTTACTTAGGCTATGCAAAATGAAAACTCCAAATTGTGGCATGATGCCATAGTTGAAGAAATGAACTCAATGGCAAATAACCATGTATGGGAGCTTGTAGAGTTACCTAATGGATCTAAAGCCATTGGCTGTAAGTGGGTTTGCAAAACCAAAAGAGACTCACAAGGTAACATTGATCGCTATAAAGCAAGGTTGGTTGCTAAGGGTTTCACATAAGTAGAAGGAATCGACTATAGAGAAACTTTTTCTCCTGTATCAAAGAAAGATTCATTCCATATCATCATGGCATTAGTTGCATATTTTGACTTGGAGTTACGCCAAATGGATGTAAGACTGCCTTTCTCAATGGTGATCTTAAGGAAGAAGTCTACATAAAGCAACCTAAGAAATTTGTTAAAAAAGACAACAAACCACTTCTAGAAAAAAGACATTTACCGTCCCTAAATAATGGCGATTAAGAAGAAAAATGCTATGAAAAAAAAGCGGTGGTATTTTTGTAAATAAGTTGTTTGACTGTTGATTTTTCACGACGATTATTAAGAAAACCACCGTGAAAAGTTTTAAAATAATCGAGATTAGGGTTTAGTTTTACTCATTTTCATAGTTTTGTATCAGTGGGCCGTGATCCCCCACTGTCCTACCACCAACGAACTTTCATTACCAGCCATTCCCCAACCTTTCCCACCGTTTAAACTCCTCCATTTAGCTTGTGGTGTCTCTCGACTATCCATCCGCCGTTTGAATGCCCAACTTCACGCCTTTGAATCGTCATACTAAATAAGTATCCTCTTCTTTCAATCTTTTTAATTTTTTTTGGTTTCTTGGATGTTTTGACCATAAAAATCTGTTGTATTTCAAATGGGTTTGTTAGTTTTATATTGTGATTTGCTTGCATTGTTTATTTTGCGTTTTTTATGTGATTAAGTTGTTGATTGGTGTCATTTGGTGTGAGAAAACCTCAATTCCTTCCTATATACGGTATTAGAAACATGTTTAAATGTTTGAAGTTGATTAGTTTTGAAGTTTTTGATTTTTTTAATAATTTTTATATTTATTTTGAATTTTTGGTTTTTTTTGGTAATAAATTTGATAATTTAGTAATAAATAATCTGTTAATTGTTTTGTGAATTTTTTTCGTTATGAACCTTGATTGATGATAAAGTGTTGTTTAAAATTTCATTACAAATGGATATCATTTGTATTCCCATTTCGGATTCAGGAGTTTTAGCTTTAAGGATCTTTATTTATTAAATTGGTTTGAAATTGAATTCTTATTTGTTTTATTTGTTATATTTCTTCAAATTTATCCTGTCTTTAATTTGTTTATTACATTGTTAAGTTGGTTTGGTTGATTGATTGATTTGTTTTTTTTTTATACAAATTTGGGATTTGTTATAGGAAAAATTAGAATGGAGGACCTAAAGGGAATAATATTTTTTAGTTTGAATTTATGTGTTTTAACCTGATTTTATGGGAATTTCCCAAGAAAAAATATTGGCGAAAAAAAAAATCATTAATGAGAGTGAGTTTTTTCAAATGCCAAGGTCACTTCACAAACCTTGCAGTCATAAATCATGGCCCCTCATTGTTGATTTAATTAATAAAACAGATGTAACTAACTACAAGCGCCCTTAATTATAATAGCAGGTTTTGAAATTTGTGGATATTAAAAAAGTAAAAATTATTAGTTGTAATTTTTCAATTCTTCTCTTAATTTTTTTGCCAATCAATTCTTCTCTTAATTAAATGTAATGATTCACACAATTCCAAATGAATTCCAGTTTACTAGTATTATGGTTTTAGTTATCATTTATTGGGGATACTTTATACACACCTTTTTTCTTAATAACAATTTAGACAGACATCTTTTTTATTTTTGGCCAACAGACATAGATCTTCTGTTTCTTTTTAGAATTGCAAAACTTATCTTACGAAAAAAAATATTATCCTCCTCATGATTAACTGGGTCTTGGAAGAAAAGCATGAGAGGGTATATATAGTAGTATGTTAGGAGATAAGAAATCTACTCCTTTTATTCTATTTATAAATCACATTTAACATGTTTTACACAAACTAAAAAAAATTTTAAACTTTATTAACTATTAATTAAGTTTTAATAACTTTTTAACTTTATTCTTATTTAATATATATTATACCTCATGAGAATAGAGTTAACATAATAATAAATAAAAAATAAAATTATATATTGATATGAAAAAATTTCTCTCCATCTTATAAATATCACAAAAAGGTTTCTTCCATCTTTCTGTCCTGTAAATATAATCACAGGAGTATAAATATTTCTTTCGTGTACAGCTGGCTTGACTGCGGGGGCATTTGCAGATAAAATGTCGGTCACCATTTTGACAATTTGTGAGCCCTATTAATTTGACCCTCAGTAACTAAAGACCATAAAATGAACGGTTCGCTTAAGTCCAAAAGTCTATTTTAGTTACACAGACAAACTTAGGATGTGTTTAGATTGAGGGGAGCAAAACTGATTTTTGTTTTATCTGACTTTTATAAATATGAGTTAAGATAAAAATCAATTAGTATAATATGATTTATGTTTAGATTGTTATTTGTAGAAAAGTCAGTTTGACAAACTTAAACTTGTTTGGATGAAGTGTAGAAAAACAAGTTTGGATGTAAAATTACTAAAAAGATATAAATTTTGTTAACTAATTATGTATAAAATGCGATAATTCTAAAAAATATTAAAATTAAAATTATAAAAATAGTTAATATATTATTAAGAAAAGAATATACTAAATATAAGATTTCAATCCATTTTATCTCCAATATTTATTTATTTTGTTCCCAAGTAATCCCTATAGTGATTATACATATTAAGGAGTTTTTATTAATGGGTAGTTTTAATGTACATGATTAACAAGAATATTTTAGGCAAGAGAACATCAATTTATTACAAATAATTAACTTAATTAATTTTATTAATATCTTCAAATTAGTTATATAACTCTTATATTAAGAATATGTAGTATCAAATTAATAGATTTGTTAGGAGTAATCTTGTCTTTTTTTGTTACTCCTCCGGTCCTAAATATAAAACCTATTTTATGATGTAATTTATATTACAAAATAAGTCTTATAAGACCGAAGGAGTACTGTCTTTTCTCTCACTACATTTGAGATGGCAAAAGCTCAAAAAAAATTAACTTTAGTGTTGGGCTATTTTTTTACCCAAAAGTTCATATGCAAAAACGCTACCCAAACATTTGTTGAGCATTTATCTGTCACGTGGGTTTGCCACGTTTTTCATTGAAAACGTTGATCCAAACATGCGCATAGAAGACCAAAATATCTCGTTAATGATTATTCTGTTTCGTCGGATATTTTTATCCACGCACCATTGTGATCCACGCATATATTTTATATATGGTGTTAAAATTTAATCCAAGTCACTCACGTCAACAAATCAGAGCATAGGTGGACCAGTCCCTTGGTTGATCCAATTAAGAGTTTTGGATGAGTTAATCAAGTTGAATTCTATATATGGTTTGAACGCGCATCAACTTATACAAGTTAACATTTTTTTAATTCATTATGGAATGCCGATTTTCAGCTTCCTTGCTTTTCCTCATTCCTTTACTCTTGTTGCTGTTACTTTGGCTCGCAAAGCCAAAAAACAAAGCTAAGATCCAAATCCCAGGGCCAAGGAAGCTTCCTGTATTGGGAAACCTTCATCAGTTAGCAGCAGCAAGCTCTTCACTTCCACACCATGCTCTTCATGAGCTATCCCTCAAACACGGACCTCTCATGCACCTTCAACTTGGTGAACTTTCTACAGTGATAGTGTCATCCCCTGAAATGGCCAAAGAGATTATGAAGACACATGATCTTGCCTTTGTTCAGAGGCCACAAACTTGTAATGCTAAGATTCTGTCTTATGGAGCAACTGATATTGCTTTTGCCCCTCACAGTGATTACTGGAGACAGATGAGGAAAATATGCACGTTAGAACTCCTAAGTGCCAAGAAGGTTCAATCATTCTCCTTTATACGACAGGATGAGGTACTGAATATATAATAATTTTACATTTAACGTTGAATTAGTTCATATCATTTGGGCAATTGACATCATGTACCTTGTATTAATCTTGATAATACACGAAGGAACACTGCGAACAAACCTCCATGTTTGTTTCCAGATGTTAGCTATAACTTTTGGATATTATTTTCAAGCCCTATCTATTGGTTATAGAGCTTCTATATGATTTACTATTTCTACTTAAATATTCTAGTATCATTATAGATGGTCACTTTGTGAATTTCAATATTTCTTCACTTCGTCAGGTATCTAAGCTCATAAAGTCAATTCAATCATCAAGAGGTTCAGTTGTGGATCTCACAAGCAAGATTTACACTTTGACAAATTCTATAGTTTGGAGGGTAGCATTTGGAGACAAAAGTAAAGATGGTGAAGAGCTTGTGAAATTGCTCCATTCAGCATTGGAACAATTGGCACGGTTTCAATTTGCTGATTTATTTCCTTCACTGAAACTTATTCATTTCATGACTGGAATGAACACAAAGCTGATGAAGATTCACAAGAAATTTGACAAGGTTTTAGAGGACATTGTCCAAGAGAATCAAAAGAAGCATATGAGAGGAGGAGATGAGAGTGCCTTGGAAGAAGAAAATCTTGTTCAGGTTCTTTTACGAATTCAGCGAAGTGAAAGCCTTGATGTCCCGATTACAACTGACAACATTAAAGCTGTTATTTCGGTTAGTACTATACTTTCCTTATTTAACTATGAATCTGCAAGTGGTTTGATGATGTTAACGATCACTTTCTGTGCATAATTAATGTAGGATATGTTCAGTGGTGGAACTGATACTTCAGCAGCTGTATTGGAGTGGGCTATGTCAGAACTGATGAGCAATCCACGAGTGATGAAAAAGGCACAAGCTGAGGTTAGAAATGCTTTTAGAGGAAAGAAAGTAATTCATGATAGTGATGTGATGCAACTTAGTTACTTAAAATTAGTAATCAAAGAAACTTTGAGGCTACACCCACCGGTTCCTTTACTGATCCCAAGAGAATGCAGAGAAACTTGTCAGGTTAATGGATATGAGATACCCGTCAAAACTCAAGTTATAATAAATGCATGGGCACTCGGAAGAGATTCAAAATATTGGTATGATGCTGAGAGGTTTATACCAGAGAGGTTCCAAGGCAATTCTGACATTGATTTCAGAGGAACAAACTTTGAGTACATCCCTTTTGGAGCAGGAAGAAGAATGTGTCCAGGCATTTCATTTGGTTTAGCAAGTATTGAGCTTCCTCTAGCCAGCTTATTGTGCTACTTTGATTGGGAATTCCCAAATAGAGTGAAACCTGAAGATTTAGACATGACTGAAACATTTGCCACTACAGCTAGAAGGAAAAATAATTTGTGTTTGATTCCCACGCCATACAGGATTGATCCCCTTCTTGGCACTTCCTAGTGAAGAATCTGGCTTTGAATCTATCTGTCTGTCTGTCTGCATAAGTATAAGGATGTGTTTGCTAAGTTCTGTTATTAGACTATTAAATCTATTGGCTAGTCAAACATGAATTTTGCGTGGGTCAGGAGCTTCCCGGTCTGTTATAGAAAGGGGGAAATTTGGATAACCATCCAGTTGTTTTGGATTAACGGTAGATGCATTTTCACATTTCCATTTGTTTGAAAGTTTTGTAAACGCGTGCATTGGATGTATTTTGAATAAGTGGATTTGGTTAATATTTGTGTTCTTTTCAACTGTTTTTTTCTTTCAAAACGAAGGTCAACATTCTCACCGCAGAAGCTTGACGAGTAAGAAGCCCACTATCTGAAAGAAATAACTTGTCCACCTTCAAATCTGACATCGATATGGAAATAAGCCTTTCAATTGACCCCTTTATGGAAACCAGAAGGCCTAGGCTTTAGTGGTGAAAGCTTAAATTGTCAATCTCAATTGGCTGGTCGTGCCAGGAATCAGTGTTATAACCATTCTGGACCATGCTTGCCCTCTCCAATTTGTGTTTCGGTTAAACATGTGCCTTCACGTAAGTTCTGTCTATTTGTAGGACACCAACCCGTCTTCAAAAACAGTGAGACTGAACATGCCAATTATATTTTGGAATTCAGTAGAACGATACCCCTCACCCCTTATTTGTAAGTATTCTTTTCCTGGAGATAAATCTCCTAATTAAATATTATATGAACCTCCAATTTTACTCCTAATTTACTATTCTTACTTTTTCGGACTTATTATTAAATTAAAGTATATATACTAAAAATAGAAATATTTTACCTCTTTGACTTTATACAAGATTCAATTTGATCTTTTAACTTTAAAACATATACATAGTTTTTAACCCTAGAAACATTACCAAAAACATAAAATGATGACCTTCTCTTAAATGTTGGTAAAACATTCTTAATACTTTCTTTTTTCTTTTTTCTTTTTTTTTGCTAAAAGCTACAAAGTGAGTAATTAAATTACGTGTTATATTGGAAGTCAAATATTTGTAAAGCCTAAGCACGCACATGCATGTCCTACTACTTCACAAATTTTCCATAAATACAGTCATTAGCACAAGGGCAAAAAATTTGTCACGACTCTATCGCATGCCTAAAAAAAGTGACTCGCATTTACAATGCAAAATAATTCTGGGCTGATTTGCTTACATTCCTTAACAACACATATATTGCAAAGAAACTAGTCTAACCTTTTACCTTCTTGATTCACTAATAAAATAAAAATGGTGTAGAATTTTTTCCATCCAGCCAGGTGATTCAGGGTAACAAAAGTGGGCAAATGAAGAGCTAAGCCAATGTCCTACTTATTGAGCGGAAAAACAAACCGGAGAAAACAGAAAATGCAGCATAGCCTCTAGATAATTTGCTGCTTTAGGAAGTGACTTCTGCCCACGAAACTCAAAACATAAAAAGCCACCTAAGGACGACCCAACATGCCACGTCCTCTACCTCTTGGTGTATAACCATATCCTCTCCCATAATAACCACCCCTAGAACGACCACCACGTAACAGGCCACGGCCCCCTCGACCACCCCGAGGCCTCATAAAATCACCAAATGTCTGCACCACACATCAGAATCAGAAAAATATATTGAATACTGTATCTCCCCAAAAAAAAAAAAAAGAGTCAAACCAATATACACTTTACCTCAGTATCAATCTTAATTTGTTCAGAATATCTAGTCCTTCCATTCTGTGGATCATAGTCAAGCGAATTGCAAGATATTGTATCGAAGAAATCATCCTTATTGTAAACAGGCTGCGTAAATCATGAAAAGCAGAATCAAGCAATGGCCATTATTTTTTCTGGTGAAAAGCGATGACAATTATTTAACACACGGACAGAACCACCAAGCTTCAAGTTGCATGCAATATATTGTGCATACCAACCTTGACATCCATTTTTGGTTCTTCGCCATTGTATCCATCTTGAATATCATCCTCATCGCTAATATTTTCTTCCCCATCTTTTTCTTTTGAATGTGACTTGCTTTTACCAAGATGACCCCATACTTCGTCCTTATTGAACCTCTCATTCATCGCCATGAAATCAAAATCTTCGGTAAATTTTGTGACTGGGCGTGGACCCTGCAAATATCATCATTTTCAACTTTTATAATCCCATGCAGAAAGGCACACGCTCACAAATATCAGTAATTTAAACCAACAAATAAAGTTCAAAATAGTGAAAGAACCCCTATGCAGATCTACCATAATTTTCCTTCATGTCATCTGAATTGCTCAACAAGCATTAAAAGACGGGAAATACAAAAATAACTCAACTATTAAAGATCTCACAGCCATGTCAAGAAATATTGTAAGCATTGATTCGATACGCTAGTAACGGAAAATGTCACATCATAATCAAAAAGGGGCAGTGGTGTACAAACTTCAAACTAAAAATAAGAGATCCCCACTTTTAAAAGCTTCAAGTATTCCAATAAGCTTTAACTTATACACGCATAAGGTCAGTTATCCCCAATTTAGCAAAAATTAAACAGTAGATCAAGCAGCATACCCCAGTTCCTCTTCCTCTTCCACGACCCCTGTAACCATAATTATGATGATGATAACTTTGAGCGCCTCCACTAGGCTGAAGAAAGTGCAACCAAATTGTCAGAGTCCTTGAAATCATAACAGGGTGAAATGGAAAGAAAATTCGATGTGATAAAAATGCTCATGCAGTCATATTTCCATACTACATATGATGAAACAAGTCCGAATTTTAAGTAAAAACAAATACATCAAAAGTGGCCCATATCAGCCACCGCTTTTGCAAATAAACCATAAATCAATCCAGATAAATCCTACTTTGAATTCAAACCACAGAACAGGAGGACAAAATACAATGGAGAAGGAAGGGGGGAGGGAGAATTTGAACTGAAAAAAATCCATAAATTACCAATTTGAAAGAACCAGCTAACATAATACACAGTATGACCTGCCTATATTAGCTCAAAGTGAGAGTTTAATCAAGTAGCCAGAGAAGACAAAAAGATAATCCAGATCAGTAACAATTCTCCAGTCTCCGAAAGGCCTACCATGGCATCCAAACATACAAGCACATGGAAGACCAAATTCTATCTGCATATATTTTTGTACACACAAAACAAAGAGAGCAAGGAAGAATACCCTGTGAGTAGGCCGTGAAGTCACAGGCAATGGCAGTATTGGGGGTTGATTTTCAGCAGAAACTGGCACAATAAGATCTGGAGGTGATGTTGATGAGACCTGAACCACTTCAACATCCTTATGGGAGGTTTGCACAGAATTAGACGAAGAAATTATTGTTGGTCCCGACTGCAATAATTGACCTGGTGTTACCAGAGAAGGGGTTGTTGTTTCTGTACGGACAGAACTTGTTGTCCCAACATTGGGAGGCGCCAGTTGGGATACAGATTGATATGGCAAGCTTGAACTTGAAACTGCATTAGGTTTGTTGGAGATTGGTGGCACTATAGCATTTGCGTCTGGACTGGAGGCAACCAAAGGAGTCAATGATGGTAGGTTAGCTGCGAGTGTGGCTGCCACAAGTGAAATAGCAGGTGCCTTGTTTGGCACTGATACAGGCAAAGTTTCAGAAGCTAATGTAGCAGAAGGTACAGGAGGTAAAGTTGATGCCAGATTTGGTGATGGTAAAGACGCAGATGTTACAACAGGCAAACTAGAACTGGCAGAGACTGAAGATGGAGGGAGTTCTGGCAAAGTTGAAGATCCAGTCGGAAGAGCAGGGTTGAAATTAGGATACTGAATTGGCTGCTGCATTGTAGAAGGCATTGATAGCCAGGAGGTGGTCGGAGCAAAGATTGCTGGGGTATATATGGGAGGCCATTTGGGGCACCATAATATCCTGGCCAATACATTGGCATAGCAAGACCACCACCATTTGCATTTGGGGCAGCTGGTGAGGCTCCCCATGATCCTGGGTTCCCTCCCGGCTGATACAAGGGCAAGGGCCCCTGAAAATTTGACCCAGGCATTCCAAGCTGAGTTGTATGAGAATTAAGATCATTCAAAGGCCCACTTCCAGATGAAGGTAAGCTGGCAGATGTAGTGACTGGGCGAGGATAGTGAGACTGCAAGAGCAATTTCATAGTTTTAGGGGACATTTACTGTTACTTGGTCCTTGTGTACATCAAAAACATCTCATTTACCTGAATAATAGCAGGGTCATTGTTGATTGGCGGAGCAGCTGTACAGGTGGAGAAGATTTAACCTGTAAATCCTGTGCAGGAAAAGAATAGCATATATATCAGCTGATAAGGTTCGTGATAATATACAGAACTATTCAAAGTCCGCAGGCAGTAACTTCTAAACAAAGCTTGGGTCACAAAATTTTTATGAAAAGATTAGGGCATCTGGATTGGCAAAAATGATGTAGTGTCGAAGTCACATGAATGACATGCCTCTCTGGGCAAATGACACCAAAGAATTTCCAACACCATTAGCAAGATACTTGTCCCATAAAAACCTAAAACCACGATGATTTCAAAAAATACATATATATATATATATTATATATATTGATGTGTTCCTTGGGATACCTTGATGTCGCTCCCACGAAACAGTATATACTCATACACCTTGTCGCCAGGAGGAATTTGTGGGCCATCCTTTTTCCTCCCCTCTGTTCCAAATGATCGTACTGCCTCACAGAACTAGAAGAGTAAGTAGACCACAATAGTTGTTTACACCAATAAACATATGAATAAGTCTTTAGTGGCATGCAGTTCTTGAAACAAGCCAACAGTATTGAAGCCACAAACATCCAAATTGGTAAAATAAATCCTTCCACGTAGTTATACACACCAATTGTCATCCACTAAACAAAACGCCGCTTGTCAAATATGAAAGCAAACAGCAAAACATGTGTGTCCACTTAATTAGCCATTAACTTTTCTTATTTTATTTATTAATTTATTTGCAATCATTGAGGCATCCCTTTATAAGCATGGATATTAAAATAAACAGATGAATTATGGTTTTTTCCCAAATTAACTCAGGCAGCAAGACAAGCAATCAACCATCAACAGACAGTTTGTTTGCATGGATAGAACCTATAAAACCATACATTTCTAATAGAGAGTCCAACTGACATCTTGGTGCCATGTCAACATCCTTATGTGACTGTGCCTAGGGTGCATTCATGCTTCTTAGAATGGAATCACGAAAGTGATGAAGAAATCACATAACCCATGCTATGATTGATTATAATTGATAAAAGAAAGAAAGAAAG